GGGATATGGCAACCCCAATCCCCGACTTTGGGAGGCTCTCTGGACCAAATACTTGGGGCCCAACACTGGGATATACGATGGGGGCGTCTACATAAGGAACCATGGGATAAGAGACCATTGAATATGGAACCATTGGAGAAAGAATGCAGGGTCTTGAAATTCGTGAATCTCCAATCGTGGACTGGCCATGGATATCACCGTCGCCATCATCAGGCAAGGAACCCTCCAGTGTCTTGAGCCTAATGGACTCATTCATTTACCAACGCCACCGCCGCAGCGGATGACGAGCGCAGAAACGTCGAGGCTGAAACCGATATTGAACAGCAGGCAGCAAGCGTCGTGTGTGACAAGCATCGGCGCGGCACGATGCAGTCTGCGATCCCCCTGCTCGAACAAGCAGGTCGAACCAGTGACCTCTGGGTCGCACGCCGCTCAGCCGAAGACCCCTGCATCTCTCGCGCCCAGCTTCCGTCCAGGCCTCTGGCAAACCACATCGCGCCTGAGACGGGTCGACCCCTCGCGTGCTGCCGGGCGGGGGCATGAGCATGAGCTCGCCGGCCACCCAGTGACAGGTGCCCCCGGCGGCGGCACGTCTCATCATACTGGAGACCTCCCCATTGGGGTCCGAGCAGGTAAGGTCGGAGGGTCGCGCCGCATCGCCGACCTCGGCGATGCATCGGCGACGTCGGCGCGGAGACCATCGGGCTCCACATCGACCCGCACTGGCGATGCGTGGGCGATGCGCGCGGTCCTGCGACCCCATCTCCTCGGACCCCATCTGCGACTCCTGAACCTACACTCAGGTCGGGCATGTCCTCCTACATGGGGGCTTTGGAAGAAATATGCAGAATTCAACCAACTGTCACACAGAGCGCGAAAAATCGTCCCCCCACTATTTTTGACTATTCTTGGTGAATGCTCCTCCTGTAGAAGGACATGCCCGACTTAAACCTACAACGTCCTCCGTACGCTCGTGTGTGGCGTATGCTGCCGTGTGCGCTCTGGGCGTGACCGCGGGCGCCGGGCGTAGGGGCGGGCCACGCGCTGCCGACGGCCCACCGGGCACGGGCGCGCGCTCGGGGCCCGCGGGCGGGCGCGCCCTTTGCCGTCGGACTTGCCCTTCTTCGACTTCCCCTGGGCACAGAAGGGGAGGAGGACTGGAGGACAGAGGCCAGAAGAGGGCGGAGGCCTGATGAGGCCAGGGGACAGCGACGAGGAAGAGGCGGGGAAGAGGGCGGAAGGGGAGGAGAAGCGATGTGGAGGACTGGGCATAAGAAAGGGCATGGTAGGATACGGATGCCCATTATGGGGATGGGGAAGGAGGGAAGAGGGAAGTGTAGAATGGTGCGCAGACACGGTTTACGAAGGCGGTGCGCGAAGACGATAATCATAAAAACCGCTACCAAAAAGCTGGATGCACACGCGACTGGATCCTTGAGCCCTACATGAGGATGACACTTGCTTGATATACACTTGCGGAGGACGAGCGCATCTGGCGACCAAGACGCAGCACAAGAACGACATATCTCGACCGACAGGCTGGCCGCGCTGGACTTACCCAACTCTTCGAAAACCAGCATGGGCTTGGAACTGGAAGAACACCTGACAATCTGCAGCAAACAGGACTCCAGCGGTGTCGCTTGGAAATGCAAGGTCGAACGCGCAAATAGCTCGGAACACCAGCATCGCAAGCGGGGGTCCTTCCAATTCATGTCTGAATATTCCCCCTGTAGAGGGACAGCCCCGACTTAAGCCTGGCCCGAATCTGGACAGGACCCATCCATGGACACGTCGCAGGGCTCCTCCTGACCCGTTCGTTCTCCGACGTGAATCCACGCGTGGCGACGGGGAGCCTCCTGTGGAGCCAGGGACCGACCGTCCCAGCGTGCCTGCAGGCCTGCCACGGGATGTTCTGAGAACCCGAACGTGTTGTAAAAAACATAATCAATGCTCTTAGAACGTAGCCCCGACGGGCTAGAACAAGACGGTCCCAGCCGGAACTGTTCTGTAGGAGCAAGGAAAGGCGACACCAACACCAACAGGGCGAGGCGATGCGAGGAGCAAGGGGGGGTCTCCCTGGTGGTGTGGTCCCCCCCTCTCGCTCGAGACATCCCCAGCCTCCAGCTCGGGGAGGCATCGTGGACCTCCTCGCTGGAGGTGGGCCCCCTGGTGGTGTTGGTGTCGCACCTCCCCCCTCCGATTCTGAAAACATTTCGTGCAGACCACGAGAGGATCTCAGAACACTCTTCTTTGGTGAGCCTGCAGGACCCGGACGCTTCGCCCTTGCCTGACGACACGCGGCGACGAGAAGCCTCCGGGGGGGGGGGGCCCAGGAAGACCGAGAAACGCCGGGCATGGCCGCCGTGGCCTCGACGGGACCTCCTCGGACCACCGCCGCCGCCGCCGTCGCACGCCGACCCCGCTGCCACTGCCGTCGACCGCCAGCGTCAGAGGAAAGAGAACTGTGCACATACACCGATCCTGGCCAGACCCACCCTGAGCCCAGGATCGGTGCATACGCCCTCCTGCCCTGGTCAGGAAGGCATATGCACCGATCCTGGGTCAAGGATGGGCCTTGCCAGGATCGGTGCATGTGCATAATTCGCTTCGCCCGAAGCGTGCGGCGCGCGCGGTGAGCCCACCTTGCCCTTCGCGCCCTTGCCAGGCTCGGCATCCTCGTCCGCACCGGCCCAGCCGGCGGCCTCTGCTTGCCGGGCGGGTCGCGCGGGTGACGTCGCGAGGTCGGGCAGGGCGCGCAGAAGGGGAGGGAGGGGAGGAGAGCCGTCCCGTGGGGAGGGGGCCATGTCCTTCTCCTCCTCCTCCTCCTCCTCCTCCTCCCCCTCCTCCTCCCTCCTCCTCTTCCTCCTCCCTCCCTCCCTCCCCCTCCCTCCCTCCCTCCCTCCCTCCTTCCGTCTCTCCCTCATCCTCCTCTTCCTCCTCCTCCTCCTCCTCCTCGTCCTCCTCCTCCTCGCACCGAACCCACGCGTGCGCAACCAATCCTGCACTGAGGAAGAGGAGCGAAACAAAAACTCGTGCGGGTCAACAAAAACTACGACCCGTGGTAAGGACAAGGTACGTGTCCACGCAGTGTGGAACGGATCGGTGGCATCCATGGGTCAGGCAAACAGATTGGTGATGCCGTGTGACGAACATCGGCTCAATCAAATGTCGCGTTGCTTATGTAACAACATACCAACTGTTTGCAAGTCTTGTGTTGCACGGCGGTGTTTCTAGCTCGGGCGAACTGCTTTTCGACCCACGCAACGCAGAGTTTAACCGTTGTGGCACTCAAAACAAATGTCCGCGAAATCGGGCTTGGAACGATTGCCCGCCCAGATCGCCGGTGAATAGACCGAGCGGTCGTATAATGTTCCAAGAATCGGTTGTGACGTATAATCCCGTGCTAAACACGTTGGGCAAAACATCGTGTCATGACATCGGTGTGCCACACCTCCGCGTCATGACACTCATCCTTATGACGATAGCGATGTGATCGTACACGAATGGATAAACATGTGGAGTGCCAGCCTTCAATGGATCGGTGCTTGGGGATGACGCACCTGCATGTGTCAACATCGGCGAGCCATACCACCGCGTCATGACACCCATCAGCATAATGATGCCCCGACGGGATAGGTGGCTGGATGCACATTCGGGAGGCCACCGTTCCATGTGTACCCATCGCTCTGGCTCACCCGCGCGTCATAGCACGCATCTTCATGATGATGTCCTAGTTGCGGCGGCACACACAAAACACGCATTCGTTCGATCGGGGGTGCATAAGTCGTCAGCGTCCGTTGGTACCCTTGGCTGCGGGCAGAGGTCAAGCGGGTCGCGCGCTTGGTGGAGGGGAACGGCGCTAGCAGTTCTGGTGACATGTGCTTGGACCCGCGGAGCTCGGTGCTTTGGTCGCTGCGACATCGGCGTGCCACACCAGCGCGTCATAGTATTCATCATTCAGACGATGGCCTTGCGATGATACACGACTGGGTACACACGCGGAACGCCTAGATTAAATGTATCGGTGCAGAACTCGGATCCCATGCTGCACATTCTTGGCGCTCTTGCGCGTGCCTGAAATCGGCGTGCCACACCAGCGTGCCATGACACGCATGATGATGATGGTCTTGCAACGGCACACGGCTGGATGCGCAAGCGGGAGGCCAGCGTTCGATGCGCACCCGCATGTCATGGCAAACTTCTTGACGATGATGTTCTTACTGCGGCGGCACACACAAAACACGCATTCGTTTCGTCGGGGGCGCATAAGTCGCGAGCGTCCGTTGGTACCCTTTGTTTTGGACAGAGGTCAAGCGGGTCGCGCGCTTGGTGGGGAAAAACACAGCTCGCAGTTCTGGTGAAATGTGTTCGACCCACGAGGCTCGGTGCTTTCTCTGGTCGCTGCGACATCGGTGTGCCACACCCCAGCGCGTCATGGCATTCATCATTATGACGATGGTCTTGCGATGATACACGACTGGGTACACATGCGGAAGGCCTGTATTAAACGGATCGGTGCTGAACTCGGACCCCATGCTGCACATCCTCGGCATACTGACGCGTCCTGAAATCGACGTACCACGCCAACATTAAGATGGAATCATTGCTGCGGCGACACACGCAAAATCTGCCGACCCAGACGAGGCCTGCCCAACCTAAACTGAAATACGCCTTTGGATCGTCGCCGTCGTCGCAAAAAAGACCGGACAAACCAGAGGGACCGAACAAACAATGCCGTAACCATGTCGAATGGAAGCCCCTGTCCCTTCCCCGCCGGAAGGGGGGTGTCGGCCCGGGGACCCGTGGGGGGGGTCCCGCGGGAGGCTCCCGACGGAGGGCCCGGGGGCGGGCGGTCCTCGGGAGGGGCCCCCGGATAGGTCCCGGAGCGGCCGCACAGAACGAGGACTCCCTGTCGGCGTGGAGCTCGGCCGGGGCCTCTCCCCCGGCCCCTGCCCCGGACCAGGCCCTCCTGCCCGGGCCCCGGCCCCAGGCCCGGCCTTGGCCCCCGCCTGGGCACCGACCCCTGGCCCCCCGCAGGCCTGGCCCCGGGCCTGGGCCCCGGCTCCGGCCTCGGACCCAGCCAAGGCCCGCCCCCGAGGAGACAGACCGCTCTCTCAGAGTCTTCCCTTCCCCTCCTCCTCCTCCTCCACCTCCTCCTCCTCCTCCTCCTCCTCCTCCTCCTCCTCCTCCTCCGCCTCCTCTTTCTCCTCTTGCTCCTTTTTCTCCTCTTTCTCCTCTTTCTCCCATTTCTCCACTTGTTCCTCTCTCTCTCTCTCTCTCCTCTTTCTCCTTGTTCTCCTCTCCCTCCTCTTAGTCCTCTTTCTTCTCTTCCTCCTCTTTCTCCTCTTTCTCCTCCTCCTCCTCTTCCTCCTCCTCCTCCTCCACCTCCTCCTCATCCTCCTCCTCCTCATCATCATCCTCATCCTCCCCTTCCCCTTCCTCTGCCCCATCCCCCTCCGCCTCCTCCTCCGCCTCCTCCTCCTCTTTCTCTTCCTCCGCCGCCTCCTCCGCCCTCCACCGGGTCATCAACTCGTCGTTGTCGTTATCGTCATCGTCGTGGTCGTCGTCCTTCTGCGTCGGCGGCACGGGCCGCGAGGCCTTTACAAAAGGCAATCGCTTCGTCTGGGGCGCACGAGTCGCCTGCTGTCTGCATTGGGCGGAAACCAGACGGGTGGCGCACGCGTTCGCCAAGATCCCTCCTCCTCCTCATCCTCCTCCTCCTGTACGATGGTGGTTCCAAGAGTCGACTCCTCCTGCACACTGCGCATTGACAGCACTGGGGTCGAGAATCGAGGCTGCCTCTCCACCTCCTCATCCTATCCCCCTTCCCATCCCATCCTCGCCCCACTCCTCCTTCCTCCTCCTCCCTCTTCCACTCCTCTCCACTCTCCCCTTCCAGCCCCCTTCCCTCCCGTCGGGGTGGGACAGCAAACTCTGCAGCCCAGAGCCCTTTCTCGGCACAAGCTGGGCACGAGATGCGCTGCAGCAGAGCTGCAGAGCAGAGGCTCCAGAGAGGAGCAAACGGGACCCCGATGTGATGGATCGGGACCGGCAGCGCCTGCGCCCTGGCTCCTGGGAGCCTCCCTGGGAGCGGGAGCGGGACCCCTGACATTCATCGGCTTCGCCTGGATTGCTCCTGGCCCTACCTCCGTGGTCGGGCGCCGACTCGTCGTTTGGCTCCACCTTGGGGGTTCTCCCCAGAAGCGAAAGTCAAAAAGTCCCGCTCCTTCCGCATTGGCATTCTCCTCCTGTTGCCTGTCGCTCATCCTCCCTCCTTCCCTCCCCCTCGTTCGTCTCCTCCCTGCCCCCCTCTCCCCTCCTCATCTCACCACCCCTCCCGCAACCTCACCCCTCTTCCTGGCAATTCCTGCACCTCCTCCTCCTCGGTTTCCTCCTCCTCCTCCTCCTCCTTCTCCTCGTCTTCCTCGTTCCCCCCTCCTCCGCATGCTTCTGCTAGCCCACCTCGGCTCCATCCCGCGCGAGTTGGGGGGGAGGCGGGGCAAGGAGGGGAACGAAAGAAGGGCAGGAGGCGAAACCCGCCACGGTCCCGGGGCGTCCCGAGGATGTCGCAGTCCCGCGACTGTCGCCTGGTTTGCCCCGTGCCTGCCCCGCCTGCAGGCCCGTCGTTGTCCCGTCTTTGGGAAGGTAGGTCGTAGGCTCGATAAATACAGATATGGCGATCGAAGGTGGAAAGCTGGAAGAGCAAGAGGATATTGGATGCGGCCAGAGGGTCTGATATGGATGAGCCCCGAGGAAATCAGTCAAGAAATGGGATACGACTCTTCCAGGGTCCATCTGGTGCAGTGTTTATCCTGGATCTGTTGTTGACGGTCCCAGGGCCCGAAAGCAGCCTATGGAGGTAGACTTACTCACTGCGTGGAGCTCCCCATATGTGCATCTCATGTTTTATGTCATGCCGTGGTGAGCATCTGTTCATGAGCGGTCGACTACAATAGCGCGTCCACGTGGGCGACAGGGCCGACGAAGACAAGTGACCCCTAATGCGAGTGATTGCGTATGAGTCAGAGTGAGGTTTGAGTACGGTTGAATGCGAGCCTCTTCCTCTTCATCCCCCCTCCTCAGCTGCCAGGCCTTCCCCTTGTCAGCCCGTGGTAGCTTTGGAGCTTCCCATTTGTGCATATGCCCCTTAGGGGTGCTGAAACCAGCGCCCCGCCTGAGACATCCTCACAATCTGCTCTCCAAGCGAAGGATTTTGAGCCCAGAAACAAGCAAACCGCCTGAGACATCCCCACAAAATGGCCGCGAAAGAGCCCGTGCAACCACCCCTGGCGGCTCCCCTTAGGGGTGCTGAAACCAGCGCCCCGCCTGAGACATCCTCACAATCTGCTCTCCAAGCGAAAGATGTTGAGCCCAGAAACAAGCAAACCGCCTGAAACATCCCCACAACATGGCCGCGAACGAGCCCGTGCAACCACCCCTGGCGGCTCCCCTAGGGGTGCTGAAACCAGCGCCCCGCCTGAGACATCCTCACAATCTGCTCTCCAAGCGAAGGATGTTGAGCCCAGAAACAAGCAAACCGCCTGAGACATCCCCACAAAATGGCCGCGAACGAGCCCGTGCAACCACCCCTGGCGGCTCCCCTTAGGGGTGCTGAAACCAGCGCCCCGCCTGAGACATCCTCACAATCTGCTCTCCAAGCGAAGGATGTTGAGCCCAGAAACAAGCAAACCGCCTGAGACATCCCCACAAAATGGCCGCGAACGAGACCCGTGCAACCAAGGGCTCCCCTGTGGTGCTGAAACCAGCGCCCCGCCTGAGACATCCTCACAATCTGCTCTCCAAGCGAAGGATGTTGGGCCCAGAAACAAGCAAACCGCCTGAGAATGAGCCCGTGCAACCACCCCTGGCGGCTCCCCTTAGGGGTGCTGAAACCAGCGCCCCGCCTGAGACATCCTCACAATCTGCTCTCCAAGCGAAGGATGTTGAGCCCAGAAACAGCAAACCGCCTGAGACATCCCCACAAAATGGCCGCGAACGAGCCCGTGCAACCACCCCTGGCGGCTCCCCTTAGGGGTGCTGAAACCAGCGCCCCGCTTGAGACATCCTCCAAATCTGATGTGTGTTGAGTAAGTCTGAGTATGAGTAGGTCTGAGTATGAGTATGCCTGAGTATGAGTAAGTCTGTGTATGAGTAAGTCTGTGTATGAGTAAGTCTGGGTATGAGTAGGTCTGTGTACGAGAAAGTCTGTGTATGTGTACGTCTGGGTATGAGTGAGTCTGAGTATGAGTAATACTGTGTATGAGTAAGTCTGGTATGAGTAAGCCTGTGTATGAGTACGTCTGGGTGTGAGTAAGTCTGTGTCTGAGTAAGTCTGTGTATGAGTATGTCTGAGTGTGAGTAAGTCTGAGTATGAGTAGGTCTGAGTATGAGTAAGTCTGAGTATGAGTAAGTCTGAGTATGAGGAGGGGAGGAGGAAAGAAGAGGAGGGAGAGGCAGTAGGAGGCGTCCAAGTAATAAATCAGCATCCCATTCTACTGCTCCTACTCGTGCTCATGCTCGCCTCCTTCTCCTCCTCATCATCGTCCTCCTCCTCCTCCTCCGCCTACTCCTACTCCTACTCCTCCCCTGCCTCGTCCTCCTCCTCCTCCTCCCCAGTCTCCTCCTCCTCTTCCTCCTCCCCATCATCATCATCATCATCATCATCATCATCATCATCATCATCATCATCATCATCATCATCATCATCATCATCATCATCATCATCATCATCAGCCTCATCATCACCATCCTCTTCCTCTTCCTCCTCCTCCTCCTCTTCCTCCTCCTCCTCCTCTTCCTCCTGACTCCTCCTCCTCTTCCTCCAAATCTGCTCCGAAAACGAAACATGTTGGAAGAGAAAATGACCAAACCGCCTGAGACATCCCCACAAAATTCCGCGAACGGGACCCCGTGAAATACCCCCCCGCCGCCCCCCTTAGAGTGCTGAGACGAGCGAATCGCCTGAGACATCCTCCAAATCTGCTCCGAAAACGAAACATGTTGGATCAGAAAATGGCCAAACCGCCTGAGACATCCCCACAAAATTCCGCGAACGGGACCCCGTGAAATACCCCCCCGCCGCCCCCCTTAGATTGCTGAGACGAGCGAATCGCCTGAGTCTGAGTGATGACTGAGTCTGAGTGATGAGAGAGCATGAGTGAGTCTGAGTGATGAGTGAATCTGAGTGGTGAGTCTGAGTGATGCGTGGTGTGTCTGAGTGAGGACTGAGTCTGAGTGATGAGTGAGTCTTGATGAGTGTTATGGGGAATAACTTACGTGTGTGTCTGAGTGATGGGTGTGGTGTGCTGTCCTGTTCTGTGTCCTTCAGGCGCGGTCCGCCAATAACAAGAACCCCATCTTTGGATATGAGGAAAAAAGTAAAATACCTGATCGGTCCCAGAAAATCTAACCTCCACGGTCGCTCGCCAGAACTTATGCCCAGTCACCTCAGACTCTTAGCCAGCTCCAAGTGCGATCGAAGGCGCTTAACACCCATGACGGGGCCGAGGGGAATGTGCTACACTGATCGGCACGCCCGTGCGCGGCACGCAGCTCTCAGGCAATCCGTCAGTGGGTATACAAGGGGCCCACAAAGGACGTACGCGCCCAGCTATGTACATGAATACGGCCCCTCGATCCGCGAGACTGGCCGCGTGATACGAACATTATTCGGGCAATGCGTACTCTCGAAACCAGCGTGGATTCATCTACGTGTACGTTCTTCTTTCGTTCCTGAGTATAGTGAAGGATGGAGGACAACAGCCGGATGCGGAGGGAAGGAAGAAACGTGGTGGAAGAGCATAAGGAACATGAGGGGCATGCGGACAAAAAGGCGCAACATCCCGACGACGACGCTGAGGGGAAGGAGAAGGAAGAAGCGGCATCGACGGACGCTTCAGCAGGGGGCCCAACATCGAGGAGCGGAACGGAGGCGGAGGGCGGACATGCAGAAGCGGCGACGGCTGAACGAGGCTCGTCAGCATCAGGGGTGGTGGGGATGGCAGGGGGAGGCGGAAGGAGGAGGAGGAGGAGGAGGAGGCGAGGAGGAGAGGGAGGAGAAGGAGGAGGAGGAGGAGGAGGAGGAGGAGGAGGAAGAGGAGGAGAAGGAGGAGGAGGAGGAGGAGGAGAGGAGAGGGAGGAGGAGGAGGCGGAGGAGGAGGAGGAGGAGGAGAAGGCAGTGGATGGGAGGGCGGTGGAGGGGAGGGGCGCGGCGACGGCAGGAGGTAAGGAAGAGAAGACAACACCAGAACCGGCCAATCCAAGCACATGCAGCGAAGGAGGAGGCGAGGGAGCGAGGTCAGGACGGAGGGGGTTGAGTCGGACCCGGGAGGGGACAGAGATGCTTCAAACCATGTGACCCTCCGCCAGCCAAGCTGAAAAGCATTCGAGTGTACCCTCCCCAAAGATGCACAATCACATCTCACAAACACGAAGAACTCTAGGGTACCTTCCCCGGACCAACCTCGACCTAATGCCTCGGTCCGACCGTGGAAACATGCATGAGGAGATAGAGGAGGGGAGGGGTAAGAGAATGAGGAACGAGGGGTCATGGATGGAAGAGGACGAGGGGGGACATTGGGAAGAGAGCGTGGACGGAGGGAGGAAACGAGAAAACACCAGCTGATGAGCAGGCCTCTTCGTAGATGTGCTCGAGCAGGTCTTCGCACATCTCCACCGCCTGACACACCAGCTGCTTCGCGGCTGTTCTGATGGTGGTTGTGCGTGTGAGGATCACGAGAAAATATGAGCGTTTGTACGACTGCAGAGGGTGCGCACGTAGCCACCCACATAAGAAACAATGCAATTTCAACAGATGGTTGATTCCCGTAAGAATGGCTGGTGCGACTGCAGATTGCTTTCCAATTGCTGCGTTTAGCTGTGGCGCATCCTCAAAATACGTGTTCGGTTGATTGTTGTCACTCCGTCTCTCTTTCTCTGTATCGTTCACTCCGACCCTCCATAATTCCCTCCCTCTTACTCTTTTGTTTTGCTCTCTCCCTCTCCTTCTGTTTTACGTTCCATGAATGCGCAGTTGTAATTCAATTATGCTGCGCGCTTGCCTTATCCTTGCCTTCCAACTCGGAGGGGCACCAGTTCATCTGTTGTTTCGTCTTCACGTATGGTTACACATGTACGTGGGCTTGTTGGTTCCTAAACTGCAACATGAACACAACCATTGATCACACGCGTGATCGGCAACAACATCGTCATCAACAACACCCCCCTTCACACGCCGCGGCCTCCCTGCTCTCATCTCTCTGGCCATCATAAACCCTACGATTCTGACCCGTACCCCCCATTCTTATTTTCACGTTCACTCACCACCCTCCAGCCCATGCATCGCACAATCCTCTGTTTCCTCATCCCCTCCTCACCGCCATCCAATGTTCCATCCTGCGGTTTCCCCGTCGCCCCCCCTGCACGCCACCCATTTTGCCCATAACCGACCCTTCCACCTTCTAACCCTTCCTGCTTTCCAACCAGCCCCGCCCCTGCAGCACCTCGGGCCAGGACCCGTTGGGAACTGACAGCTCCGCCTGCTGACGGAACCGCCGCTCCCCATCCCCGACCCCACCCACGCTGCCCCCCCCTGCGTTTCAGCCTACGCCGTCCCCCTCCCCCCATTCACAACCACCTCCTCCCTCTCCCTCCTCCTCCCCATGCCCCCCCCGCCATTCACAACCGCCTCCTCCTCTCTGTTGCTTACCCTCACCCGCCCCGCCTTTATCCTACTCCTCTGCGTTCCCTTTGCCACTCTCCTGCACCTCGTCAACCCTTACGTCCTCCTCTTCCCCTTCCTCCTCCTCCTCTTCTCCCCCCCCCTTCTCCCTCATCCTCCCCCCTTCATATCGAAAGAGGGCCAGCGAAACAGGAAAAACGACGAGTGTACAGGAAAGGATTGGATTCGGCCTTGCGCGCGTGCTGGGATGGCACATGCTACGCATCGTGCCACACTCGTGCAAGCAATACTTCAAACATCCGCATGCCTGCTGTACGAGGTCATGGCTTGCGCGCGCCGCGCAGCACTCGCCAGGTGGACCAAGTAGGCGGATCGTTGTGTTTGAAAGTTCGCGGGTGGGGGGACACCCCTCTGGCTTCTTGAGGCAAATACCCGACGGCCCTGCGTTTGACAGGCAAGTTTGCGAGGTGCCCACCCAGCCCAACTGCGGTGTACAGACAGACCTAGGCCAGAAGAACACCCCTCAAGAACATGAGACCCTCCGCTGGCCAAAACAGACAGAGCATCTAAGGGCATCCTGACCAGGGTGCACAAGAACATCCAACAAACACGAAGAACACGAAGGTACCCTCCCCGAACCGACCTCGATCTTATACCTCGGTCCGGCTGTACCCAACCCACCGGCATCAACGGGTGATAAAAAGTATGTCGCACACAGCATGACGTCGACACTGCAAAAAAGACACGGCGAACGGCGGATGTGCGCGCCGTGCGAAATATGTGCGTGGCGGGCACGCACACCCAAAGGAACCAACGGCCACATGAAGTTCTGTGTTTTGCGTTGGGGCACATCGGGGTGGACAAAACCATCACGTCGGCCGAAGCAGCGGGATCATGGCGAGGTCCCCTTTGGGCCCGCGCGGGGCCCCGCTGTGCAGTTTCCCCCAGCAGCCCTCGGAAGGGGCGGCCATTTCACACTTCGCACCCCCCCCCCCGCGGACGGCGATGCCCCGGTTGGGGGCGCATGGGGGGTCCCACTGCGCGGGCTCCTACTACAACCCTCGAAAGAGGCGACGGTTTCACACTTCGCAACGCCCTCACGGATGGCGATGTCCCGTTCGGGTTTGCGTGGGGCCCCACTGCAGGGGCTCCCCCAACAGCCCTCGACAGTGGCGACAATTGCACACGTCGCTGCCCCCAACGGATGGCGAGGTGCCGTTCGGGTACTGCGCGGGCTCTCTCAACAACCCACCCAAAACGGCGACAATTTCCCTTCGCAGCCCCCCATTGATGACAAGGGACCGTTTGGGCCCCACTGTGCGGGCACCCCAAACAGCCCTCGAACGTGACGACAGTTATACACTTCGCAGCCCCCAACAGGGATGCGGGAGGAGGGCGCCGAGAGTAGAGCGGGGGGCAGGAGAGGGAGGAGAAGGGAGACGGCGACCCCACTGCTCGATTCAAAACGAAAACCCAACCCAGGGAAGGTTAGGAGTACGACGTTGTACTATGTGAGGCGCGCGCGTTTCGGGTCACCGCCCGAGCCCCACCACAAGCCCCTGACTCTCGGGCCCCGAAGGCATCCGATAGGCACAGGCCAAACTGGGGGGGGGGGGGGGCGGCGGCCGGAGCGCCGAAACCCGAGGCGAGGAGGAGGGGGCCAGGCCGCTGCGGGTGCGCCTGGTCGGGCGAGGCCAGGAGGAACCAGGGGCGCCCACATGCGTGGTACATCGTCTGCCACATGTGTACACCCTGCGAAATGCTTAAGAAATCATGGGTTAAGAAATTCATAGTCTCAGAACTCGAATAAAAAACCCAAAAGTTCCATTCCAATCTTAGGATTTACATTGAAACGTTAAGAATAATCGAGATTCTGGCCGAACACCTGAGTTTTCTTAAGCATCGCCTGAGGTGTAAGCTCACAACCCCGACCTCAAACATGCCCAACGCGACAACGAGGCTTGCCAGCAACGGGCTGCACCCTGCGAGCCCGAGCGTCGTGGCGTGGAAAGTCAGCGTGCCGTCGTCTGGCAGCTCACACTGCCATTCGTCTGGGAGACAACGTGCCGTCGTGCCGTGTATGAAGAACATGAGATGCGAAATTCGGGCGAGTTGTATGACAGAGAAGTACATCCAAGAGCCCATCCTGGGCACACGATTCAGGTCTTGCCCGTCGCTCTTTCGGTGCGGCCCTGGCTCGGAGGGCATCCGGCCTCGGTGCTCAACGCTCCTCGTCCTGAGGCTGCCGCGCGTCGCTGTTCAGTGGCCTCTACTTGGGGATGGACAGACCCCCCTTTACTAAAACGTGGTTTAGTGAAAACGACCCGAAACCCAAACCTGGCGGGCGCAAGCCTGGAAAATAACGGCCACGGCGCCCTCTGGAGAGACCGAAAACGGACAATTCACGAATCGACGTGTCACTGTTGGGGGCTCTGTCCGCCCCCGATCTACCTTTCCTGGCCCTTGCCGCCGAGCGTGACTTTGTCCGGCAGATTCTGTGCCAAATCCTCGGGGTGGACCTGGGGCGCTGGCCCGTGGTGCGTAATACCGCCTCTGACATCGAGGAGCTTCACCGCCGCGCTGTCGCCAACCAGCCTGGAGAACGCCCCCGTCTCGCCCGTGTCGCTCTGCCGCGGGGGGCCGTCAGCCAGCGAGAGCGGCAGTCGAGTGTACTCCTCTTAGCAGCACCTCTTGCACCGAAAGTGTCGGAGCAGTCAGCCGAGCTCCTCCTGGGATGAGGACTGTATGAAACTGGTGTAGAACAGCCTGACCACCTCCAGCGCCTCGCCCCCGATCTGTTCGTTTGACCCCGCCACCGCGGGCGACTTATACCCTGCGCGCGCTATGTACAAGTGTGGTGTTCCGAGTTTCTCCATATTGTGTGCTAAGCGAGCCGCCTCCGCGTACAACTTTCACTCGGCCTCGGAATCCGCGATAACCGGGGTCTTCGAGGTATGATCGAGCTGTCCCAGTACGCCGATGCCAGATCACGAAACAGTTGCGAGTGCATGCAGAAACCTTTAGGAAGAGGCTCAGCGCCTGTGCGATGTCTTTTTGCTGAAGCGCGGGCTCCACTGCCATCATCGTGTCCTCTGCCATGCCCGCTGCGTCTCCTACCGCGGGTTATCCGCTCCTTCTCTGACCCGCATCCGTCGTCCATCTGCCGCTTGCCGAGCTGGATCAGGTCGCTGAGGTCTAGCATCTTGATGCCTGAGCTTGAGCTGGCCGCCACAGAGGACATGCTCGGGTAGACGGTCTCGGACCTTCGGGTCCGGTGCGTCGCAGTGTGTGCGGATGTGCTTCTGCAGGCTGTAGACTTCTTGAGCCCAGTGGTTACATACTGGGAGGCTGGTCTCCGACGGGACTACCATGTCCTGCACCAAGAAAGAGCTCCTTCCACGACTGCACCTTGTTTTTTCCTTAAACGATCTCATAACGTGACGTTGGGCGCTTCTTTCGTGTTCAACCCCTGTATAGAACGAAGACACTGTTTATCGGAAGCCGGGCAAAAGCTGCTAAATCCGTGGCTGCTAGAATCGACCTCCTGGAAATTGTCTTCGTCCTTCCGGGAAGAAACCCGTTTGCGGCTCATTCCGGGAAGTTGCTTTTTCCTTCCGGGAGGGCCGTTTTAGCAGCCACGGTTTTGGCAGCCCTCGCCCCGCTTTCGAGTTTACTCACAGTCAGCAGTGCAGCCTCAATCCAAACCCGATGGGCACGGCCCTCGTGCAGAGCTGTTCGCTACATCTGGCGCCCGAGGCGAGCACAGTGTTGCACACGAGGTGGCCCTCACGGGCCGTCTCCGCCTCGACCTCCGGAACCTCAGGGGCTTCGGGGTGGAACTCGGGCAGGGCGAACGATGCAGAGCAAGCTGCGTACCTCAGGCTCGCGAACTCGAGGAAGGCCCAGTCGGAATAGCCGCTCTCATAGAGGAGCTTGAGCAAGGGGCACGCTCGGGGAACCACCTCGGAGAAATCATCAATCTTATCGTAGACGTGCTGGAGGCCCTCTAAGAGCTGCCGGAACCACGGATTATGTTCAGGGGCCAACTCCCAAGACTCCAGGATCGTGCCGCAACTGCACAAGGCTCCCCAGACACAGGGGCAAACTTGGCGGTGAGCCTCAGGGTAACGGGCCAGCCTTGGTACCAATCGCGGGAGGAGGAGGAGGAGGAGGAGGAGGAGAATGAACGCCACGAGCATCCCATCCAGGTCCGCGCATTGTCCAAAAGGAGGAGGCGGCGGGAGGAGGATGAGTAGCACCGTAAACGCAGGAGGGGGGGAGAGAGGAGGAGGTCACGTTCTCCACTCTCGCCTTCCCCTTGTTGTGGGTGGGAGGAAGTGAGACGAAGAGGTCGCGTGTTCTTCCCTGGCCTCCTCCTCCTGCCTCTCCGTCGCCGTCTTCCGCCTGCTCCTCCTCCCCCTCCCCCTCCTCCTCCTGTTCCTCCTCCTCCTCCTCCTCCTCCTCCTCCTCCTCCTCCTCTCCTCCTCCTCCTCCTCCTCCTCCCCCTCCCCCTCCTTCCCCCTCCCCCTCCCCCTCCCCCCCCCCTCCTCCTCCTCCTCCTCCTCCTCCTCCTCCTCCTCCTCCTCCTCCTCCTCCTCCTCCTCCTCCTCCTCCTCCTCCTCCTCCTCCTCCTCCTCCTCCTCCTCCTCCTCCTCCTCCTCCCCCCTGCTCCTCCCCATCCTGGCCGCAGCATGCGGCGCAACCGAAGTTCTCACCCCGACCCATGCTCCTCGCCTCGGCGCGGGGCCGCTCGGACTCTTACGGGGCCGCCTCCGAGCCTCTGTGCGCGGGGATCGGCGCTGGGTATGGTTGTCGCCGCCCTCCTCCCGAGACCAGGAAGACCCTGACGGCAGAGATGCCATCTGCCGATGTCCCCCCCCCCCGATCGACCAAACTAACAAGCCATTACCAGCCTCGAGCGTATCCGAATCCCTAAGATTGACACGCCAAGAGGCGATGACAATCTTAGGGATTCGCCCTCAAAGAATAGGGGAATCCCTAAGATTGGCATCGTGATAAGGGGGTGCCCAGCATAGGGATAGGGTTATGTTCCAGGCTGGTAAAGCCAGGTGGGTATTCCCGCTGGCTGGGTGACGAAGCACCTGTAGAAGGTATCGACGGCAGAGGGAGGGCACCTCCTCCTCCTCCTCCTCCTCCTCCTCCTCCTGCTCGCCTCCTCGCCGCGTCGGCGCCTCCCCCTCCTCCTCCTCCTCCTCCTCCTCCTCCTCCTCCTCCTCCTCCTGGCTCAAATAACCATACTGGCTCGAGCTCGGCTACGCCCCTCGCTAAACCACCGACTACTTCCCCGACCCGATGCTTCGCGCGCCGCCCCCGAGTGCGGCACACACAGACGTCGGGCAGAGTTGCACGCCAGGACCGACTTCGTGCTACGTTAGGAGGCAACTACTGGGAAGTCTTGTTCGGAAGGAGAAGGGAGGATTGAATATGGAGAATTGAATCCCATTGGGCGGCTGTTGCGCGGGAGTGGGCCTCGGATTCAGCGGGATTAAGCCAGATTAAGCGGGATCAAGCGGGATTAAGCCGGATTTCGAAACAGGGCAACATTACAATTTGAACTCCCAGGACTTGCATCCGAAGCTACGCATGCGCGGAAGGCCCAGCACGCCAGCCACCTCTTAGCTGGCATCTTGGCGGTAGGTCCGCCACCCGGCATCGAGTACTCCGACGATCTCGACCACTGCGAGCTCGTCGCAGACGCCGCCCTCAACTGCCTGGGCGACAGCATTACCACCCCTCCCGCATATCGAGGCCATGATGTCGCGCAGCCGTTCGCTCTGGAGGTCGCGGACGGCATCGAGCAACAAGCCTCTGGCGAGCACATCAATAAAGAGAAGGGGGGAGACGCCAAGTCGCCTGTCCTTACCGACGTGGAGTCCACGGAACTTCAGCTGCACACCGATTCCGCTTCGGAGGAGATCGACACCGATAGGTTCGAGATGTAAATCTGCAACCCTGCCGTCCACCACCCGAAGCAGGTCTTGTTCAAGGAGCCCGTCGAGGAGATGAAGCACGACCCTCTGGAGCAGGCCCCTCCGGAGGAGCCCCGCGTCGAACCCCAGCAGCTCGCCGAGATTCTCAGGCAGCACCCGCAGCTGGGCTTCGTGCGGGCCCTGATGGATCGTGAACAGGCCGTTGGGGAGCGCATGTGAACTGTACTGCACACCGACTCCGCCGCGAGGGAAGAGATCGACACCGAGAGAACCGAAATGTAGACCTGCGACCCTGCCCTCCACCTTCAGAGAAGCAGGTCCCGCCCAAGGAGCCCGTCGAGGAGTGCAGCCCGACGCGAGAGGAGTACAGCGAACGCCCGCCGGATGCCAGTGACATCTCCACAAGTGCCCGCACGGCTCCGGGCTTGACCGCGCGCGGGCTCTTCGCCACAGGCTGAACCCGCTCTTGCCCACAGCTGGATGTACCTCGTTGGGGATGGTTGGCAGTCATCCGGCGCAAAGGGCGAGAGGATTGTCTGCATACCAACAGGTCATTGGAAGCGATGGAGACAGACAACACAACATGCGTATTGTTGATTACAACATGCCTGCTCGATTGGACTTCGCCTCTCTCCGTGTGAAGCCGCCCAGCAGAAGCAAGTTCAGGAACTTCTGTTGCAAACTATGGAGGAAGCCAGTGTGGCTCTGCCTCCATCGGCGTTCTGCGTTCTCACCTGTGAAGGCTGCTGCAATGCATATGTGACATGCACCTTGTGTCCAACAGCGAGAGACTTGAGGTCTGCAGGGCTGTGTCTGACGACTCTTTGCCGTCCCCGCCCTCCGATTGGCGTGCTTCCGAATGTGGATGCCTGGTACTGCGGTGCACTCGGCCGTCAGCGCTAGTTCGCGAAGCAGTGTTCTGGTTGTGAGGAGCGGCCCCCCGAGGGTCGCCGGACTTTCTCCCAATTGCTCATGGCATGTGCCACGTGCGTCCTCCGTCGCTGCGAGCCGATCTCGATTCGACTCCAACCGCCCCACCAGCCGTGCGCGCGTCCTCCCCATCCTCCTCCTCCTCCTCCTCCTCCTCCTCCTCCTCCTCCTCCTCGTCCTCCTCGTCCTCCTCCTCCTCCTCCTCGCAGGGGGGGGGGCCGCGGGCGGGCCTTGTCGAACTCGGTGTCGCCGACCGCGCCCTGCCCCGCGCGCGACGAGGGCGCACGCCCGCGCGAGAGGGCCGCGGGCGGCGCGGGGCCCGACGCGCGGGTCCCGCGCGCGGCCGGGCGGCGCCGCCCGGGCCCTGCGGCGAGACGTCGGATCGGATCTGCGAGGCGGGGCCGTGCAGTCAGAGCGCGATTGTTTTTGCAATCCTTCGGTCAAGCGAGGGTTTTTTTGCAATCCTAGATTGCAATCCTGGTTTGTTTTGCAATCCTTCGGTTTTTTTGCAATCCTTCGTTTTTTTTGCAATCCGTAGATCGGGGTCTGGCTGTCCAGGACGGAAGAGCACTCGAGGGCGGACCCTCCTCCAGGTTGCGCGAGGGCATCCAACGAGCACGGACAACCTCAAGGCGCCCTCTCCGAACCGACCTCGATCGGATACCCCCGTCCGACCGTACACGTCACGGTCGGAAGAAGCACGTCGAACCATGAAGTGTGAGGGCGTCGGAAGCAGTGACTGGGCCTCCACCCGCCCCTGAAGATGAGGGGGAAGAAGGACCGCCCGACTCCCGAAGCAGGACGGCGCCTGAAGTAGTCCACCAGCCCTCTGGGCGTAGGTGGTCCAACTGGATTATTTCTTCCCTCTTCCAAAAACCCCCTCTTCCCCTTCAGGGAGGGGTTTACGCCTCCCCCCATACCCCCTCCCCTGGACTTGTTGGGGCGGTGTCGCGGGTGGTCAGAGGGCCCTTTTTCGGCCCCTGGGAGGTCCAATGTTTGCCACCCCTCACTAGGATCGTTTCCCCGAGGGGGGGGCCTAGATCGGGACCCCCAGTCCTTTGATCGATAGCACCGAAAATGGTCCCAAGAGGCGCTCCAGGGCCCTCAATAAAGAACCAAGACAGCCCCTTTTGGGCCCCAAGAGGGTCCCAGGAGAGCCCCCAGACGGTCCCAGGAGGCCCCCGAGCGGCCCCACCGAACCCAAGATGACATCCAAGATGGCTCAGATAGCCCAAACTGCCCCAATATGGTTCCCAATATGCTCCAAACGGCCCCCAAACAAACCGTTCCAAAAGCGCCCAAAAGCGCCCCAAGAGAGCCTCAAGAGGCGGTTCGCGGGCTCCTGAGGGGGAGGCTGAGTTGCGGACCCCCCCCATCCTGTAATCGATGGCTTCCAGGATGATCCCAAGAAACCTTCCAAGGTTACTAAACGGGTTCCAAGAGGGTTCCCGAAACTGCCGGAGCGCACCAGCAGCAGCAGCAGCAGCAGCCGCAAGACTACCTCTAGATGGTTCCATGGGTCCTCGTCCGCGTCGTCGTCATCCTGGTCCTCGTCCTCCTCTTCTTCATCCGCGTCCTCCTGTTCGTCCTCGTCCTCATCCTCTTCCTGCTCCTCCTCTTCCCCTCGCCCCCACGCGGCCCCCAGGGATGGCCCGAAAAGGCCTTCCAACGCCACCCCCTTGTTCCCAGAGATATGTTTGCTCGCCTGTTTCCCTGGATGTGTCTCTTCGTCCGTTTTTCCCGTCAGCCCTCATGGGCAGGGTTTCTGAATGGGCTGGTGGGGGTACTTTGTCATGGTCGCAACCGCAGGCGAAGGCGCCAGCGGCTTCAAAGCTCGGCTCGGGCTACGAGCGTATCGAATTGGCCAGTCGCGCGCACGGGCAACTCAGAACTACCGCCGGGGGACGTTGCGCTGCGCCGAGGGCTGAAGCTGCAAAAGCTGCCAGGAGCTGCCAGGTGACGGGCAAGCGTGCAGGCACCGCCGGGGGAAGCTGGGCTGCGCGCTGGTGGCGATAATTTGTTAGTCAGCGGCCGCGGGCGAACGCGCCAGCGGCGAGTCAGGTCCAAGCAAGTTACGCAGAGACTAATTCGGCAGAGGCGGCGCGAAAGGGCTACAACTAACGCGGCAAGCCGAGGCCTCACGCGGCGGCCCAGCGGCGGGCGGGTGGCAGGAGGAACTGAAACTGCTGGTGGGGATACGTTTTTGGTCGCAGCCGCAGGCGAGAGCGCAAGCGGCGAGTCGTAAGTCCGGGGCGCGGGCCTACGAATTAAAACAAGAACAAGCTAGAGTGGCGTAACCTAAACAACTAGCTGCCTAAGCGTTGCTTCAGGTAGGCTGCAAGCTGCACTGAGTGTGGATGCCAGGGCCAGGGGCAGAAAGCGTCCACACAGCGTCCATGCAAGCAAATGTCCAAGCCGAGCCACGCAAAGGTCAGGCCTGGGAGCGACTGCGAGTGGACTAGCACAGCTGCTCAGACTGCGGCTGGCTGGTGGTGATTTGTTTTGTTAGTCGGCGGCTCCGAGGCAACGGACAGGGAGCGGTAGGCGTCGTCTGGGCCAGCAGGCGAGGCGAATTAGCTACAACAGGCAACGCACCTGCAGTAATAAACCGCAAAGAATGCGAGGTGTGCAAATGCACTGAGCAAAATGCTCTGCATTAAGGCGAACGCACCTAGGCGCCAGCCACACAGAGGTGAAGCAGACCGCAGTGGTATGCAACGGGGAGTCGCCCTGTCGGCGCCAGCCCGCGCAGCAAACCTAGCCGAATAGGACAGGTAGGACCGAAGCGGCTGGTGGGGATACGCGAAGCGTGAAGGATTTGGAACCTCAATATCACACAAATACCGAATTCCGACGACCGACGGAGCCCCCGTCAACCACCGATTCTCCTGAATCGATGGGAGGAGGGGGGGAGGTCGGTCAGGGGGTTCGGATCTCGCCACGTGCTCAACGAATTCCGAACCCTACCCCCGCCGCCCATCGAGTTGCTTGAACCGTTGGTCGGCGAAGGTAGGGTGCGGGATGTCGTTGCCGAACAGCGAAAAATCGGGTCGGAACTGCGTGGGGATTTAAAATCATAACGCGTCCTAGGGATGGAGGTTGGGGGTACAAGGCCCCTGGAGCGTCAAGGATGTGCGCGCCCGCAAGGTTGCAGTGCCCTGCGGCTGAGGAGGCAGAAACCCTGCCAAGGGTGCCCGCAACCGAAGGGTGCAAGCATGCATTGCGCACACGGTGAATTCCTAACATGTATGTATATATATATGTGTATATATGTGTGTGTGGTTGAGACTAAGGCATATAGCTATACATATCTACATGGCTGTAGAGGTATGTATGTGTATGCGTGTATGTGTGTATGTGTGTATGTAAGTATGTGTGTATGCATGTATGCATGTATGCATGTATATATGTATGTATGTATGTATGTATGTATGTATGTATGTATGTATGTGTGTATGTATGTATGTATGTGCATACGTACGTGCGTATGCAGATATGTGTGTATGTATGTATGTATGTAGGTAGATAGGTAGGTAGGTAGGTAGATAGGTATATGGATAGGTAGGTATGTGTGTATGTATGCAGGTGTGTGTGTATGTATGTATGCATGCATGTATGTATGCATGCACGCGTGTGTATGTATGCATACATGTATGTTTGTGTGTGTCTCTCTGTCGATATGCTTGTCTGTCTGTCCATGTGTATGCATGTATGTATGTAAGCATGCATGTATGCACATCGGTATGTATATACATAACATGCATGGGTGTATATATGTGTAGGTGCATGCATACATGCATGCATGTATGCAGGTATGTATGTATGTATGCATGTATGCATGTGTATGTGTGTATGTATGTATGTATGAACATATGTAATGTTGTATGTACGAATGACTGAATGAATGAATGTATGTATGTATGTATGTATGTATGTATGTGTGTATATGTCTATGTATGTATGTATGTATAAATGTATGCATGTGGGTATGTGTGTATGTGTGCATGTATGTATGTATGTATGTATGTATGTATGTAGGTAGAATGCCCCATCCATTCATTTCTATTGGGGGTCCCAAACCGTATCGTGACAGACCGGGCCGCGACCTCGAAATCCGCAAAGACCTCACCGCACGGTCCGTCACCGAACGGCTTTCGGACCCTGGAGGCTACAGTCGCCCGAGACATCCTCGGAGAACGACCCAAGTCCCAAAACCGTGCGGTGACCCGGAATCCCCACCGACTCACCACAGGGTGTGGTCGCCACCCCGTTTGGGGGCCCCCGATTCTATTACCAGGGACCCCGCCCCCCCTCGAAGTCGGATCCCCCGAACCCCGGGCCCCTGGGACCCTCTGGATCCCCCGGCGTGACCTCGGGGACACCCTGGACGCCCCTGCAGGAGGCCCCGCAGGCGTTTCCGAGCTCCGGAAAGCCCTTGCTGGGCCTGGGCAACGGGCCCAAATCGGTCAGGAGGGCGGCCGAACGCCCCCCTGAGGGCCCCAAGAGGCCCCAAACACCCACCGGACGCCCGAAGACGACCCAAAGAAGACTGCCAAGAGGCTTCCCAAACGTTGAAAAACATTGATTCTGCGAGGTTTTGGCATGATGTTTGGGAATGCCCGGTTCTTTGGTCTTCTAGGCGTCCGAAACCACCTGGGAGACTCGATAATTGCTCGAAAACCATCCGACAGGGCTTCCACGCAGTCCAAGAGAGCCCCAAGACGGCACAACAGGCTCCCAAGATGATGACAGCCCCAGATGGCCCCAAGACCCCAAGACGCCCTCCGAAGCATTCCAAATCGTGACCCGTTCGTTCAGGGCGACGGCGGTTGCAGGCAGTGTGGCGGGCGACCTCGGGTGCCGCGAGTCGGGGATCTTCTGACCCGGGTCAATCCAGACCCGGGTCAGCAGGAAACCAAAAAACTGCAATGCAGGAAAACAAAAACTGCAACGCAGGGCTTCGCAAACCCGGGCCAACCAATATGCGCGGCCGCCTCGCGGCTCGCTAACCCGGGTCAGCCAGAGGGAGCCTTCGCAGGATCCTGCAGGATCCGGTGCCCTGGCTGACCCCCGTTTGCACTGACCCCCGTCTCTGAGGCCCCGAGCGAGGCGCGGGACGCGGCTGCCGGCGAGCGTGGCGCGCAGGCGAGGCGGGCGGCCAGAGCGCGGGGCGGAGCCGGCGGAGGCAGAGGCCGCCCGACGGAGGCGCGCCGCAGGGCCCCTGAGATCCTGGAGGTCTGAGATCCTTCGTGCCGGGCGAGTCGCCCGGTTTGAGGTCATGGGCGACTACAGGGCAGTGCTGGATATATAGGATTTGAAAACAAATATTGGATTTTAACACAGAATCAATTTATGAACCAATTCATGCACGAACTCCTCGTTGTTTTTAGTACTGAATCCCTGCATGTTTAATACATGATCCGCACGCGGAGCATGTATTAAAAACGGCACTGCACAGTCAACCCGTAGAGTAAGGATTCGCGATGAGGATGCAAGGGCCTTGGGCGCTCATTGCGAAGCTCTTCGAGCGGCCAACGAAAGCGGCCAAGGATGGGCCGAGAAGGCAAGGAGGCAAGGGTACCCTTGGGAAGGTTGCCCATCCTTACTCTGCGGGTCGACTGTAACCAAAATGACCCCTGACCCTTTATGAGGCCATAGGCGATTCATCAAGAAAGGACCCCTGACCCTGTCTGAGGGGGCCTAGAAGTCAGGAGGGCCAAACACAGTAGGGATAGGGGCTCTTTTCTGCAGATGTAGACAACCACGCCGCCCAGGTGCACTATCCCTGATGCGAAGACGGGGACCTCAGTGCGGAAACGTCTTCTCTGCGTTATTCGGGGGTTCTTGTATTCTCGATGATTGGGGCCATCACTGCAGGAAGTTGGGCGTCGCTTGCTGGGGGGGCGATTCGTGGGGGGGAGGGGAAGAAAGATGCATTTCTCGGGCTCCAGTCAAGGACCCCCTTTGGGGCCCTAAAGTACCCCATTCGGGGCCCTGCAGATCCCTTGTTCTGCAGCCATCGCTGTCTCCCCATTCATCGCCCTCCTGTTACGCGACGACTGGGGACGGAAGATGGGTTTCCAGAGCTTTTGTCGTGATGTTTCGCGATGTTGCATTTCGTTCGTCGCAGCGTCGGGTCCCAAGGTGAGAGGACGTCAGGACAGGGACAGACTCTGACCGGGACAGATCGGGGATCTCTGAAATCCAGCGGCTCCAGAGCTCCAGAGCGCTTTCGAGCAGACTTGTCCCAGGTCCAGTTGGGCGCCCGAGTTATCCGGGGTAACTCGGGTCCGGGGTAACTCGGGTTTGGGTTCCCGAGAAGACGAACCCGAGTTATCCCTGACCCGAGTTACCCCTGATGATTCGGGGCTCTGGACGCCCGAGTTATCCGGGGTAACTCGGGTCCGGGGTAACTCGGGTTTGGATTCCCGAAAAACGAACCCGAGTTATCCCTGACCCGAGTTACCCCTGATGATTCTGGGGCTCTGGACGCCCGAGTTATCCGGGGTAACTCGGGTCCGGGATAACTCTGGTTTGGACTCCCGAAAAACGAACCCGAGTTAACCCTGACCCGAGTTACCCCTGATAACTCGGGGCTCTGAAGACTTGTCCAAGGTCCAGTCTGCCCGACTGGAGGCCGAGCCCCACTGGAGGCCCGCAGCACGGCCGAGAGCTCCGATACCTCGACTGCTTGCGTGCGGGGCTCCTCGAAGTCTCGACCCACTCCCAAAAGGCCGGGATGTCGTCCCGAGTTGGGCGTGGCTTAATGGGGGGGTCACAAATGGGGGGGTCAGAAACGGACCCCTTTCGTGCCCCTTTCGGGCCCCTCTGGAGCCCCAGGGGGCTCGTTTGGGTACCGTTTGGGTACCTTTGCGGACCACCCTCGCCACCCCCCTATTTATGACCCCTCCATTACGCGGCGCCCAACCGAGTCGTTTTTGCTACGGTCCGGGGGCCTGGCGAGGGCCTCCAGAGGACAAGAACGGCGAACAACCTTCGTCTGTGTCTGCTGTTGTTATACGGCGCAGCCGGACATGGCGTCGCCGGAGGGGGGACTGAACACACCCAGCCGGAAACCCACCAAATGGCTCCGCTCGGCTCCTGTCCGACCTGCTACAAGCAGACTGTCGCCAGAACTTCTGTCGTTGCGAAAAAACGAGGCCGCATTTTTCTCAAACCTTCTGGGTCTCTGGAAGCTCGGTCTGGGCCGCGAGAGACATCAAGAACTGCCTGGGATACAGGACGGGTGCCCCGGCATGGGGTCGTCGGGGAGTCACATGTCGAAGAGATCACCACTCACGTATCTAGGGGGAGGGAGCTTCGATGTCTCCAGAAGATGATGGGCATGGTTTCGGTGTAAGAGAATGAGTTGAAAGCAATTCGTTCTTGCGGGTCATCCTGTAATTATCCGTGGGCGTACAATAGGGGCATTCGCAAATAAATCATGACCCGATGCAAGAAGGAGGGGCAAGGGATCGAATTGACAAACAAAAACAAAAAAACATGACATCCAGGGAGACAACCGTCTCGACCATGATATCCGTCTTCTGTTAGCTACCACGTCCCTTTTCGCCGCCCCCGAATTATCCTCCTCCTCCTCCTCCTCTTTCCTCCTCGTCCTCCTGATCAAACTTCCTCCCAGCCTCTCCCCCGTCAAATCCCTCCTCCTCCTCCTCTGCCAATCCCCCCCGCCCATGCCCCCCGATCCGACGCTGTGATGGACAACGTGAGAGGCGCGTCGCTGTCGCCGGTGCCCTTGCCGGTCAGCCACACCTTCGGGCGCGGCAAAATCACTCCCCCTCTCCTCAACAAGGCTTATGTTGCTCCCATCGCACTTGGGGACCACATCCCAGAAATCATCGCGAGCACCCAGAAATGTATCGAGAGGGTGTCGAGCGAGTATCGCCTCCCAGGGCCCGACGCGTGAAAACCCTGAAAGCTCCGGTACTTTCTCGGTGCACGATATTCTGTTTGGTGAGCAAGGCCAAAGCAGGTCCTCAGAACGTAAGCCCTGCGAACTGCGCACGGACCGGGCCCCCGGGGCAGTCACGGGTGGCCCCGACGGGCCTCCCGAGCAGTCCAGGGCCCAGGGCGGCCCCTGCACCCCGCGGCCGCAGCCTCTGGCGGCGCCTCGGGGCGGTCCGCGCTCAGAGGGCTGGGCGTCGAGGCTGCGCCTCTGTGGGCCCCAGAAACGGCAGGGCCTTTTTTTCACCGCTTCCAGAAAAATGCCCCTTGAAAATGGAAACGGCAAAAAAACGGCGACCGGAAACGGCAAAAATAACGGCTCCATGCAGGGTTGGAACCGGAGCCGGAACCGGTCAAACAATGGCGACGGAACCGGCAACAAAAACGGCAAAACGGAACTGGTAACAAAACGGCCCTGTCGTTTCCAGGGCCCACTAAGGGCTGCACCGGGCTACTCGGGGGGTGGGGGGGGGCTTATCGAGTCCAGCCAGGACTGCCTGAGGGAGTGGAGAGGACGAGCGCGAGGGCACAGCACCCTTGCGAGGGCCACGCTGCCACACCGATGCATGCGTAGAGGGCATGGGCCACGAGGCGCAGGACACGAGGGCGCCCTTGATTTGGCAGGGTCGAACTACTCATCGAACTCGACTGTACCACTCCCTCTCCTCCGCCGCCTCAACCACCCGGACATGTGGCGGAGTGAATGCACCAAACCGGCAGGGCGTGAGCTAATTTAGGGAATCGGGGCAGGGCAAGCCGGCCCCAGGTAGGGGGCCGAGCTATCCAAGGGCCCATGCGTTTTCAAACATTCGAGCAGCTTGGCTGGTGCCTGAAACAGAGGATGAGTGAAGGGGCCCTAGGGCACACAAATAAATACACACAAATAAAAGGATCCCCCATATTTTCCTATATTTTCTGGGTTTCTGTCTTTCCCCCCACCGCCCATATTTCCCATATTTTCTGGGGAATCGACG